TACCCGACCACTTACTCAAAATCTTTCTCTGTGAAGGGAACATCCTCAATTAACACAGCGGAGTGGACATTGAAAAATATCCCGAGCATTATCTGAAAGAACACAGGAATAGGCAGGTTGTCAAATTCTGGCACCTTACCTCTAGGTCGCTCCCTAAGCTCCTCCCATTTCTAATGTTGGCTCAACACAACAGTAGAAAGGGAAGGGTTAGGAGCAGGGTGGTTACAGCTGGTTTCGGAGGCCTCAAGGGCCTCTGGAATAGGGCGTCAGGTGGGACACTGGGAAGAAGGGCTGGGTTCAAGGAGGCATAGCAAGCAGCTCTCCAAGATGCGTCATTATCATGGGACTAGGAAGAGAAGAGGGGAACCCAGCACTTCATATTTCCAAAGTGAAGCCCGGTGAGCCCTGGAGAAGCAAGGCCTCAGCTAGCATTTTCGGGAACAAGCACACTTCTTCCTCACCTCCATCCAACTCAAGCATGTCTCGGGGGCTTACCTCAAGGGGTCCGCAAATTTACCGGCGCTGGCACCCATTCCCAGGGTCCTGCCCCATCACCCTTTCGCTCTAGTCCTCAATTTTTTCGATCTAAGTTCCGGCTCGTTTCCCAGCGGCTCATTAGCCAGACCCTTAATCTGTCTGCCACTTCCAAAGTCCTGGGGATTCCTGGCCTCCCAACCTGTCAACCCTGGAGCCCCGCAGGCCCGCTCCGATTCTCGCGGGGCAGCCCGCTCACCAACATGATCACGCCCCAGGCGCTGAGGACGATGCCACAGGCGGCCAGCTTAGGCCCACAGCACAGGAGCGACGCCATGGAGGAGAGAGGGAGGAACCGCTAGAGGCTGAGCGAGGCGCAGAAGCGGCGAGAGGGAAGCCTGGAGACGCCGGGGACAGGGAGCTGGATTCGGGGACTTGCGCGGAACCGAGCGGCGGGGGCGTGGCTTTAGGCGTGGACCACTCCGAGGGGGGCCGCTGGAAGAGAGCGCTGCGCCACGCGGCGGGCCGAGCCTCGGGCGGAGCAAGCGGTGTCGGAATCCAAAGCAGCAATTCTACAAGTCCTCCTTGACCTAGGTGGCAGGGACGTGAATGCTGCAGGAACTAGGGCCTGATGATTCTTCCTCTTCACCTACCCCGTCTTGAAATGGAAGACGCGGGCATCTCACGTGACCGACTTGACAGATCACATGACCAGGAACTAGCTTTGACCTGGCGTCAGGAAAGAACCTAATCGGAATAGGGGTCTGCAGAGTTCAGTAAGGGACTGTTTCGTTAGGTCGAGAAGTTCGGGATCGTCTAATTCCACACCCCACACATATACCTTAGTCTCCGGTGGTCTTCTTTGGTGGGAAAACGGTAAGCGAGATGGTGAAATTACTCGGCTGGCAGGTCTATCGCCTCTATCCAGGTCTCCCTTTTGAAAGATGCTTTGACACCTGGAGAGGACAAAAGAGCCTTAGCATCCTGCTTGAAGGAACGCTTTTCAATAGTCTCGGCCTTCTTGACCCTGGAAATGCTTCCCTTGCAATACAGTATCATTCCAGACGTCACGTTCAGGAAAAATATAGGGCTAGGAAAAGCAGGCTCAGTGGAGTTGCTAAATGTGGGGGAGAAAGGAGAAAAGACACAAAGAAGTCGCTGTTGCCTCTCTCTCCACTGAAAATGCTGCAGGCACACCGAGTAAGACAGGACGTAAGATGAATGTGTCTTGGTCACCGCTCAGTGCTGGGAGGAGACGCCATTGGCCAAGGCACTGCTTAAGAAGCATTGACCTGGGGCTGGCTTACAGTTTCAGGGGTTTAGTCCGTTCTCATCATGGTGGGGAGCGTGACAGCACGCATGGCATGGCCTGGAGCAGTGGCTGAGACAGACGTCCTGATCTGGTGGGGAGGGCTGCACTGACGGGACCTGGCAGATCCCACCCCAGTGACACACCTCCTCTGTCAGGGCCACACCTGCTAATCCTTTCAAACAGTTCCACTCCCTGGTGACCAGAAATACACCATTCTGTATGATCCTATGGGGCCATTCTCATCCAAACCATCACAAGATATGTTATAACCAAGAATAAGGCCGGGCAGTGGTGGCGCACGCCTTTAATCCTAGCTGTTGGGAGGCAGAGACAGGTGGATCTCTGTGAGTTCGAGGCCAGCCTTTTCTACAAGAGCTAGTTCCAGGACAGTCTCCAAAGCTGCATAGAACCCCTGTCTCGAAAACCAAAAAAAAAAAAAGCCTTCCTTTCCAAAACAAATTTGGTAATAATTTGGGGGTAATCAGATGTTTAAAGAACACTTCCTCCTCTCCAGGGCTGGGGTTCAAGCTCAAAGCCACCTGCCGCGGACTGACTCTCTTGGAGATTGAAGACCGAGGGAGAACAGGGGTGAAGGCTTAGGAGAACCCAGGGTTCAGCGAATGACAGACAGACACAACTCTAATGAGTTTCGAATCTGCTGCAATTTTACTAAAATTCAAGCATCACTTTTAAGAGATTACAGAAGGAAGTTGGCAGACATAAAAGTTTCCATAGAAAAATGATTATAGACAATTGATTATTCTCAGCAAGTCTTGTGGTCAGGGCCATGTGGGCAGAGCTGGTCTTTGAAATTCGTCTCACACCACTAACTAACTGTGCTTTCTCATGGCCCTAAATCATATCTGCCCTCAAGGTAGCCAAGGTAACCCAAACACCATTCTTCAGGATTCCACCCCCAGGGTTTGTTTCAATATTGAATGGCTGGCTTCATGTTATCAAGAATATCTTGCCTTTTTTTTCCTACCTAAAATGTACCAGGGGTTTCTCATTCTGGCTAGCCTCTCCATAAATGGTAACTCATGCCATTCCATACATTTTCCTTCATAATTTACCCATCTTCTACCAAATCTCCTATCATGAGCTCTTTCTGTTCTAGGGTATCCATAAATTCCCCCAGAGAGCGAGCCAGAGTCTTAATCATAACATTGATGGCCTGAATCAAGGGAGGGAACTGACGCATCAGTTCCTCCGTATTCAAGGAGCCGTTGGAAGTGTTTTCTGGTTCCTTGAACAGATTAAGGTTTTGTCAAGAGAAAAATAGAACAGAAGAAAGGATAGCTGAGTCAATGCAAGAAACCATCGCCAGGAACAAAGTGAACGAGGTCGTTGAGGCTAATCAGGCACCTCAACTCAAGCAAACTGCCAGGGAACCGCCTGGGGCCAAGCTCCAAGAAGCACGAGCCCCTCATTTTGAGACGGCCACCACCTGAAAGGCATTTTGTCACACAGGCAAGACAGCCGTGGATGTGGCAGCCACCAATGAATAAAAACTTTGCACCGAGATTGGTGTACTCATGCTAGTAAGGACAATAGTCACAGAATGATTTCGAGAATACATTTTAATCTCAAGACTCCAGGACCAAACCGAGGAACACTGTCATGGATTAGAATCTTGTGACATTTTAAAAATTTATTTTGTGGATATTAGTCTCAAAATGGTTGTGAAAGATAACTTGCGAAACACAGTGATTACTGGGTGTTACAGGCCTGAGACAAGGGTTTTCCATTTCTCCTAGTGACTGTTGCAGAAGGAAGCTGTTGGAGAAAGCTTTTTATTTGGGACCAGTAACACCCTTAGTTAGGGATATTCAGGGTATTTGTTCAAACTGGAAAAATAGGGCTGGAGGGGAAATTGTCAAGGAAGAGAGTCAGGAATTTACATGTTGGCCATCAAATATGAGGGCTGGTTCCTGGCAGAAGGTACTAAGCTGTAATAGTTGACTTCACCCAGAAATATCATTTTCCTCTCCTCAGCCTCCTGGATGCTTTTTAAGCTGGAATTTTTGGCCTGAGGCCTGTATGAGGTTAGACCAGATCTAATCTGAAATTGTGCACTTTTATCTTTATCTGTTTGCTTGTTTTGTTTTTAAATATTTATTTATTTATTATGTATACAATATTCTGTCTGTGTGTATGCCTACAAGCCAGAAGAGGGCACCAGACCTCATTACAGATGGTTGTGAGCCACCATCTGTAGTTGCTGGGAATTGAACTCAGGACCTTTGGAAGAGCAGGCAATGCTCTTAACCTCTGAGCCATCTCTCCAGCCCCTTGTTTTGTTTTTTTGAGACAGGATTTCTCTGTGTTACAGCTCTGGCTGCCCTGTAACTTTCTCTGTAGACCAGGCTGGCCTTGAACTCAGAAGTCTGCCCGCCCCTGCCTCCCTGGTGCTGGGATTAAAGCTGATCATCACCACCACCTGACGTTGTTTTTGCTTATAAACGGCTGAAGGAAAACAACGCAAAATCCTATCTGGTGACTTGTGAGGTTCACATCTCAGTGTCCACATACAGTTTTATTGGAACATAGTCACACTCATAATGTCAGTGACTGCTTTAGTGGTACAGGGAGAGAGCTGGGTAAGAGCGGTAGAACGTGTACGGCCTACAGAGAAACGGTTCCTCTTTACAGCAGAACATCTAGTGCCCTGTGGCAGAATACTGATGTGGAGTGTGTTTAGTTGAGGGAGAGATTAGTCTTAGCAGCAGGTGTAAAAAGGCACAGAATCAAGAGGGCAGTGGCAGCCCTGGTGCTGATGGGATTGTTCTGAGTGCTGGCAGCTCGGGCTCAGATGGTGATGCTGTTCTCTATGCGGCTGGGCTTGAGGTATTCATAGGGCAGGTCGAGTTGCTCATTCCGGGCTATGATCTCTCTTTCCAAATTTCCCAGATCTGCTTGAAATCGACTGAGCACAGTTTTGGTCCTGGGGTCTGAGAAATATTTTTCTTTGTGTTGTCCTAGAGGTACCTGAGACAGAATGGATCGTTCAGCTTCCAGCCCGAAGACACCCAGCCCCTCACGCTGATACCTTTCCCCAGTTGTTACTTCCCTCTCCTTGGTCCTTACTCACCATGTCTGGCTGGAGGCGACCCAGATGCCATGTGATGGTCATTTGAAGACAGGACTTCTGAATGTCAGGTAGCGACCCCATCACCATCTCCATAGTCACCTCTTCCTTGTTGGTGGGCGGAGGCATCCTCATGGTGCACGGAGCATTGGGTACCCAGCCATACCAGTCCAGCTGGGGAAAGAAGCTACTCTAGCACCCAGACATTAGGATTTGAATTCCCACCTCTCCCTTAGATAGCCCAAGGTCCAGACATGCGCTCTCCGGGCCCTGAGCTCCATACCTGGCCCTGGTTGATGGCGGCGTGCTGAGACGTGCATGTGAAGACACACATTGTAAGGAAATGGCAGAGCTGAGCCCGGGTCTGGAAGGAGACAGGGAAACCTGGCCAGGGAAAGAACAGGACTTAAAGGTGACAGAGCAAGAGGAAAGAAACGCAGGATGCTCTATAGTTTAGGACGGCTGTGTGTGTGTGTGTGTGTGTGTGTGTGTGTGTGTAATTTATGTAGCTATATTTGTATCAGATATAGGTTTCAGCACTGGCCTAATTTCTTCCATCTTGGTTACTTTAGATCAGAGGTTCTCAACTTGTGGGTCTCAACCCCCACAGGGGTCCCATATCAGATGCCCTGCATGTCAAATATTTACATTTTGATTTATGGCAGTAGTAAAATTACAGTTATGAAGTAGCCACAAAATAATTCTGTCGTCGGGAGTCACACAACATAGGAACTGCATTAACAACACAGGGACAGCGTCGGAAGACCGGTCAGTCACCTAACTTCTCCACACTCCAGTTTCCATCTGCACAGTGGATGCAGTGGTGCGTGATGTAATCCCAGCTCAGAGGCAGGAGGCTCGTGAGGTCCTGGCCATCCCGAACCACTGTCTGGACTACACAGTGAGATCCTGTCTTTAAACAAACAAACAAACAAACAACAACAAAAAAAGCATCAAAATGATCTGTTTTTAGATAGTGCTCAGCAAATAATAGATACAGTTACTGTGGAAGATTAAGGGCTGGGCATTCAGTCATCCCTAGTCGGTTAACGTAGGGGCTGGAGAGATGGCTCAGCAGTTAAAAGCACGGGCTGCTCTTCCAGCAGTCCTGAGTTCAATTCCCAATACCTACGTGGTGGCTCACAACCTTCTGTAATGAGATTTGGTGCCCTCTTCTGGCCCGCAGGGATACATGCAGGCAGAACACTATATATAATAAATCAATTAAAAAAAAGAATTAATGATGTGCCAGATGGTGGTGGCGCACGCCTTTGATCCCAGCACCCAGGAGGCAGAGGTGGGTGGATCTCTGTGAGTTCAAGGCCAGCCTGGGTGGGCTACAGAGCTAATTTCATCACAGCCAGGGCTACACAGAGAAACCCTGTCTCAAAAAACCAAAATAACAATAATAACAACAACAATAATAATGTGCTTTCCTATTTCTAGATAAGGAATTATAGTCTCTTAGTTATACAACAGAGAATAAGAGAAGTCCTGAGCTGGGCCTGGTGCACACGCCTGTAACCTAACACTTCAGAGGTTGAGGCGGGAAGAACGTGAGTTCAAGGCCAGCTTTCATTACAAAGTAAGTCTGAGACCCAGCTAGGCTAAAAGACCCTGTTTCAAAACAAAGTCCTTCCGGGTGGTAGTGGTGCATGCTTTTAATCCCAGCACTGGGGGGGGGCGGGGGGCAAAGGCAGGAGAGTCTCTGTGAGTTCGAGGCCAGTCTGGTCTACAGAGCGAGTTCCAGGACAATTAGGATATACAGAGAAACCCTGTCTTGAAAAAAAAAAAACAAGAAAACTAAATAAAATTCTGAGTTTGTCTCATGCCAATTATTTTGCAGTGTGTGTGGGAGCTTTGATTTGAGCTGGTCCATGTAATTACATCTGCTTTCTGATAAGAACATCAAAGGGAGGTTAAATGCTGGTTGAGGCTGTCAGGGGGGAGAAAGACTGACTCTGAATACAGTTCCCGGCGGCTCTCCTCTCACTGTTTTAACCTTAGCACACTTCCTCTAAGTGCAGCAGCTCATGTGGCAAAAGTGAGCTGTGCGTGGAGAGAGAGGAGGGGCTGAGTCACTGTTTGTGAGGATGAAGCTAATATTTATGGTACGGAATGGATGTTTCCACCCCTAAGCTATTATCCTGGAATTGCTTGCCTGTGTGATGAGGTTTGGAAGTTTATAAGGTCATAGGTTAGAGCTCCCGTGAGTGACGGCAGTGACCTTGCGAGACAGGACAGAGATCTAGTTTGTTCTTTCTGTGCCACATGGTGCCACGAGAGTGACCTGTGTCACCTGGAAGAGCACCCGCCAGACTCAAACATGCTGGCACTTTGACCTGAGACTTTCAGCCTCCAGAATGGTGAGAAATAAACTTCTGATGTATAAGCCACACCATTTGTTCCACTTCATTATTTCAATCCCAGCAGACTGAGACGCTGCATATTTACTGTGAATTTCAAGATGTAGTACTGCTTGCGGAGATGGCAAGGGAGACGTCTTTCTGGACGTCTGAAGCCAAAGGATCAGGACTGAGAAATTAGAGAGAGCTTGGTCCTGCAAGAGTAGGGGTGGTAAACCCCATGCTTCCTCAAGGAGAGGCTTTCTTCAGGGGTCAGGTGTTTGCTGCACTGCAGGGTCTGGCCATGGTGGGTTCCACTGTGCCATTAAGACGCAGTGGATGGGATTCAAGGTGGTAGTCTCAAGTGTGGAGGGGCGGTGGCTGGACGAAACCTCAGAGCCGGAAGCCTTCTGTTTAGCCCAGGAAAGGCTGGTTCTTTCCGGAGTTAGGGAGGAGGATGGAAGCTGACTGCAAGCAGTGGCTGCACCCTGACTGGTGGGAGGGGTGCTGGAGAGTGAGGACCAGATTAACTGAAGAAACCTGAGCCCCAAGAATCGGGACCCTGAATTCAGATCTGAGCCGTAGCTTGCAGATGGTATTGTCTGGCATCGAGAATGACATCGCAGTTTGGCAAATGTACAGCGTGCCAGAACCCTCTGTGCGTGGACAGTAGCCGGCAGGAGGGAGAGGAGTAGCCATGGTGGGACATGATGGGCTTTGGTGGGAAATCTTTTTCCATTTGTATCTCCAGGTGGAAAAATAGGGAACCATAATCGCAGAGCTCCATAAACCCCAGCAGGTTGTGGTTCTGCTTTAGCTGAGTCCAATATACAACTATGGCAGGTTCTAGATATAACTGAGTATGAGCTGATGGCTAGGACCTCTTTAGAAGAACAACCGAGGTATAGGATGCTTCTGGGTGTTTGGAGGCATGGAGGATGCTGTCATGGACGGAAGGGCGGGTGTGACTGGAGAGCTCTGTCCCCCAGGTCTGGGGAGGGGCCCTTGTCACTGGGACAGATCTTACCTCTGTCCTGGGCATGGCACAGTCCCACCTCAGTGATCTCCCAACACCAGGCCTGCAGCTCTGGGTCTCCCCTCACAATCTCATCACTCTGGTAGAAGAGGTGGACCATCCCCTCCACGTACCTGCCCAGAGAAGGAAGCTGAACTGAGAACACGGGCTCGAACCTCTCGCCTCTGGGGCCACCTTTCAGCTGACTGTCACTGTGCCTGGGTTGGATCCTATCACATTTGTGTTTTGAAGTTTTAATTTTCATTTAAAAATTTAAGTAATTAATTTATTGCAGCATTGGGGATCAAAATGAAGGGTTTGCTCGTGCTAAGCAAGCACCCTGTGATTAACACCCCAGGACTTGGATATATTGATGTAAGGAGAAGCGGTAAAAGTTAGTCGTTCTAACTGCCCATGACTACTCGTCACTCCGGTTCCCCAGCCTCTGCTCTGACAGCCGTCTTCTCCTGTATCCTGCCCCTAGTCTAGTCTCTCCTTTTAAACCTGACAACTGACCCCACCTGTTCCTTACCCCTCTCTGGAGAGACACTTTTTGTCGCAAGCCAGATCTCACTCACCTGGCAGTGACTTTCCAGAGCTGTATTGCGTCCTGAGCATAGAGAGCACTTGGGATTCTCAGCAGGCCTCGGTTGGCCAGGTCATCAGGAGGACAGAGGGAGCAGTAAGTCATTTGGGCCATTGCCCGAGTGAGCAACTGAACATGGCCCCCTCCACCTGTGCTCACTACCTGGGACAAGAAAGTTGACAAGTCTTGATGGATAGAAGCGGGGATAGAAAGCCAAGGGCTGTACGGTGCTCAGGCATGGAGTTTTCAGGTTTGAAGTCACACATACGAATGGACAGGACTCACAGGTTAAGACTGAGATTTCACAGAAGTTGGTCTGGCATCCCCAAGTGTTTAGACCATCAACGGAAGCCGGGTGATGAGGTAGCACCATACCCCCCGACCCTTACCTGATCAAATATTCCCCCATCTGAGATGAGCTGGGTCCGGCTTCGTGTGTTGATTTCCATAGTGTAACGGATGTGGGGAACTAGGAGCTGGGTGGAGATTAAAGGGGGCTGTGCTCGAGACCTTCCTTGTAGGACCTGACACCAAGTGTAAGGTCCTACTGTCCTCTTGGTGCTTTCGTTCATGCCGAGGCCTTGACAGGCGGGACTCTTCCTTCCCTGGTCACTTATTCACATTCTCTAAATTGCTCAGGAGTTGTCCTCTAGAGCCGTGGTGACTAGGATTTCAAACCACACCTTACCACTCTGGTACCAAATTAATTACTACTTAGCATGCAATATTCCAACCTGCCAACAGGGGGCAACAGTAGGCTCTGACCTGAGGGAGCCGCTCCCATGTGTGACTACGTACGTAGGTGATGTGTTTGTAATACCTAATGGTAGCTGTTATTCATTCTCTTTATTTCCACCCTGAGTGTGGGTGTCTTTTAGGAGCGCTCAGCGCCTTTTGATTTTCTTATATTCTATCATTTATATCCTCTATCATTTAAGCTGATATCATTTATATCAGCTTAAATTAGCCTGAATATTCCTTATCAAAACTGCACCTTTATTCTTTGGCTATTGACGCTTGGGTTTCTTCGGGAGTGGCTTGTGGGGAGGGTATATGAAGCTGTCTGCTTGCACAGTAGAAGTCTCAGCATCCATTCTGTCCCCCAGCCTTGTTGGTACTGTTGGGTCTCCTCTCTCCTTTTCCTCGGCTCTCATAAAACTCCATCTCATTCTCGTGCATTCTTTTTTGTCTTCTTTTTTACACAGCTAATATCCATATTTCGTCTAATTTTGGTATTTATCTGAATTGCTCAAGCCAAACACAGGAATGGCCCAAGTGATCTCTTTGATTTTGAGATATCAAGGCAACTCACATTAGTCTGAGATAGTTTTGGACAACTCACACAAGATTCTGAGTGTCACAGAATGCCCCACGTCACAGGAGAAGAAAAGATGACTGGGCACAACTCCAAACAAAAATTTCAAGGACTTTTAGATAGCATTTAGCATGTGGCACATTACAGCCTACGCTGTTTGTCCCTTAACAACCTAACAGACCCTCTGTCACAGTTGAAATGTGCACAGCTAGGCTGGAGATGTAACTGGTTGGCAAAATTCTTGAGCAGCGCGAACAAAGCCTCTGGGTTCAGTTCCTGGCACTTCATAATCTGGGTGTGGTGTGCATGCCTCTGATCCTAGCGTGAGGGAGATGGTCGGAGGAGGACCGAGGAGGTCTTTGGATAGAGAGAGCTGGAGGCCAGCCTCGGTTGTGTGAGACCCCCATCTCAAAATCAAAACAAAATAAGAAAGTGGACGTTTGGAAAATATCAAGGTATGATTTAGGACTTAGACCCTGACTTTCAAAGTAAGGTACGCCTGGGACATCAGCACATTTAGCCCTACTGTGTGTCCTGTGACAGACAGCAGTTTGCCATGGGATGTAATTGTTAGGGCGGATGGAGACTGAAGAAGACTGAGCCAGAGGGGAAAGTGTCAAGTGTGAATATAGGTTTTAACTGTACACACGGAATAGAATATACAGGTGCAGGTGCATCGTGGAGGAAATGAAATCCAGGATTCTGTTAATCAGCCTGTGTTACCCAAGGGGTCACAGCTAGACTGGCCGGGCTTGGGACTTAACTGTCTTCCTTACCACGTTCCTACCTTGAATACTCCGACAGTGCTTTATACACCATGTAGCTAAAACAGACACCCCGTGTTCCTGTACCCTAGCCCCGACAATCACCCCCTTACACCATGTAGCTAAAACAGACACCCCGTGTTCCTGTACCCTAGCCCCGACAATCACCCTCTTACACCATGTAGCTAAAACAGACACCCCGTGTTCCTGTACCCTAGCCCCTACAATCACCCTCTTACACCATGTAGCTAAAACAGACACCCCGTGTTCCTTTACCCTAGCCCTGACAATCACCCCCTTTTATATACTTGCAGGGTTTTTTTGTTTTGTTTTGTTTTTTGAAACAGGGTTTCTCTGTAGCTTTGGAGACTGTCCTGGAACTAGCTCTTGTAGATCAGGCTGGCCTTGAACTCACAGAGATCTGTCTGCATCTGCTTTCCGAGTGCTGGCATTAAAGGTATGCTCCACCACCACCCGGCATGCTTGCAGTTTTGTGATCTTTGTATGTGAGATGTTATTAAGATTTTTCAAATCTTTTTATTTTCATTACATTATTTTGTTTGCCTGAGACTGTGTGTGTATGGGCCCATGTGTGTCACTGTGCCCCTGTGGAGGTTGGAGGACAACCTTTGGAACTGGTTTCCTTTGTTCTCCCACCACCAGCTTCTCTGGGTATAGGTGAGCCACCGTGCTTGGGTTTTGCATGGGTGCTGAGGATTCAAACTCAGGTCCTCAGGCTTGAGCAGCAAACCTTTTATCCACTGGCCGTCTCCCCCACCCCCACCTGGCTCCCTCCACTCCCAGCTGACGGTGTCTCCGCTGTGTTGTAAGCCCACAGAGACACTGCCAGATGTTTGGGAATTTCAGGGATCGTCCTCATCATGGTCCTTAAGAGGTGTTAAATTACTCAGCTTGATTAAAGTAAGTTCCAAGGTGTTGGTACAGTTTCTGTTCCCCGCTTTTCACTCCGATTGCTATGAAGAGTTTTGCTGTTGTATCTACCTCTTTTGAGTTGTGGAGGGTAGAGACAGGCAGATCCCCTGGACTTACTGGCCGGCCAGCCGAGCCACAATGGTGAGCTCCAGGTCCAGCTAGAGACTTTGTCTCAGAACATCTTACTTAGGTTCTAAGGGAGATGGGACAGAGGGTGGAGTCTGTACCTTGAAGATAGGGTGCAGTCCCGGGAGGCACCTCATGGTGGCGACAGCAATGACCTCGGCCACCAGATGAGTGTTCAGCAAGTGGAACTGGAGCTCCTGCAGCTGGAAATCTGAACTTCGGACCCATATCTTAGCCAAGAGCCAGGCCAGTGGAGGATCTGAGGGCAGGAACAATGTTGGAACTGGGGAGCTGGGACTGGGAGGCTGAATCTGGGAGAAATAGAAATTGAGTATTGATGGAACTCCCCCTCTGTGTACGACGTGGCCACAGTTCCTGGAGAAACCCATGACTAAGCTAAACTGGTTCCTTCCAGTGCCTCACACTCAAGTGGAAGGAATGAGAAACCTGTCATTCTGCTCTCCTAGCTGGAGTGCCAAGATGGGCAGGCTGAATGCTGGACAGAAGGGAAGCAGGGGTCCAGAAAGGAGGTCCTAGTGGTGGTGTGGGGGGAAACGCGAGGCTCAGAGAGCAGGTGATGGAGAGTGAAAGCTGCGAGGACAGGAGCCAGCTGTGGTGCTTCCTCTTTAATCTCCTGCACTCAGGAAGCAGCGGCAGGTGGATCTCTGTAGTTTCAAGTCTGGTTTACATGGGAAAGTCCAGCGAGACTGTCTCAGAGACCAGCACACCTGAACAAGCGGATGTGAAGATTATTGGCAGTGCTCGCCAATGATTGATGGAGTAGGCGAAAGAGTCCAGCAACCGTGGATATTTAGATGCAGAGGACACCGAGATTAAAGAATGGTTCTCAGTGTGGTCCTCAGCTGCTTAATCTTAGCATTAATTTGGACCGTGTAAGGAAAGCACTTTTTACATCCATTTCAGATACACTGAACCAGAAAGTCTGGGGGTGGGACTTAACAAACTTCCGGCCCCCTTCTGTGCCACCTAGCGTGCCGCGTGCAGTAAGTGCTGTGCACTGAGCTACACCAACCCAGAAACCTGTGCCTTTCACGAGTACCTGAGGTGAATGAGATGCACGCTGATATTTGAGTATTGTTAGTGATAGGGTGAGGACTCAAGAGGCCATTTGTTTGTTTGAAGATCTTACTATGTAGCTCAGGCTGGCCCAAAACTTATCATTTATCTTTGGACAGTCTTGAACTCATGATCCTTCTGCCTCCAGAGTGTTGGGATTTTGGGTATACACCACCATACCCCGCAGCTTCTGTGACTCGTGAACAAGCACTTCTGTCTGGATGATCTGGGGGGACTAGGCTGTGAACGGAGGGTAGCTCTCAGAAGAGACGGGACTGGGGAGCCAAGCACTTGGACATCGGGTTTCCGGATGCAGAGGTTTAAGTGACCGAGACCAGCATTAGGAATGAGGCACTTAAGGGAGCCTTACCTGGATCGCCATGGGCAGCAGCTTCCCACTAGGATCCATCCTCAGCATGACAAGAGGGGCAGCCAGGTACTGCTGCTCTCCCCGGATCACATTGGCTGGAATCCCATCCAGCAGAATGAAGTCAACTTCAAACAGGGAACCATTCTGGAGAAAGGAATGCATCCACTCTTAGAGTTCAGAGGTCACACACCAGCTTCTTGTCGTTGTTGTCCATCGGTTCCAGAGTCCCATTGTCAAAGCTACAGTGTCTACAGTGTCTGGTTGGTCTGGTTCTTCTAATCTTAAGGTAACAGCCCAGAACACAAACCACCTGGATGAGGGTAGACTCCTTGTGTGGGGATATGTGTAGCAGGTCTGGATTCAGAGTAGGCCTGCCCAGGCCAGTCTGTCTCCCAAGCATTAGCGCCCTGACTCCCTGTGCAGGTGGTCAGTCCCCTGTCCTATCATTCCCAGGTGGCCTTCTGTTCTTGGCTCCCATCAGCTCAACAATCCCTCTTCTGCTCTGTGAGGAAGATTCCAGAGAGCCTCCTGTGCTTTCTTTGCCAATGAGCACATTGTGGCTTATCCTCCAGTGACCAGTCCATCCTTCCCAAACTCAGTTCCGAAATTTTCCAGAAAACCTCCCGAACCTCCCCACTCCACAGCACAGGCATTGCCTTTTCCCTGCCAAGATCACTGGAATCCAGAAAAATTTCAGCAGCAAGTGTATCATTATTCCTTTCAACATCTCTGCACCCAGTCTGTGCCCTCGGGATCCATCTCTCTCCCCCATTCATACAGGAGTCCTTGTGGCTTTTATATGACATCACCATTCTTCAGACACCTTTTTTTTCCCCCTAGCAAAAGGCATGCACCAAGGGGTCCCTTCTTTTCTGCCATCTGACATTGGCATCTCAACCTCGCTAGGTCTTACACACTAGTAATGAGAGAGAAGTGCCAGGCAAGGGGAAGATACCTTTAGTTCTTTTTCCAACTGCGCTTGGAGCTCCTCTGCCCCAGAGGGCAGTACCAGCCTGGGGGGCAGAGAGGTAGAGCGTCTCAACAGCATGGGGTTGGCACCATTGAGGAACTGGTAGCCAAAAAGCTCATCGTCCTGCCAGCACCGGTGAACCTTCTCTGTGGTGCAGGGGTGGGGCACAGAAAGGAGGGGATTTACTGCAGCCTAGACGTCTCTGTTCTTCCCATTGGACCGCGGGGATTTAGAATATCCTACGCTCAGCCATTTTTTTATTTTTGTCATTTTGGGGGCTTCTGTGAGAATATCAGTCGTAATATATGTTAATTTGCCAAGGAGCTCCAAGAACCATGCTTGGTAATGTAAAGGGACCACTGGGAGATTATGGAGATCTGGGGAAGCCACCCACCAGCCAAGGCACTCTTCTGGCCCCAGAAGATCTGATCAAAGTCTTCCAGACGGTTCCAGCTTCTCAGGAGGGTGTAAACACGTTTGAGACCCATTTCCAGAACCCTAGGACAGGTGTTAAGACATGACCCCATCATCTGACCCTTAGCTTCTCACTAAATACCACCACGCTTTGGTTCCCCTGCTCCCATGCCCGAAGCTTCCTAGCCCTTTCCTTACCCTGCCTTCAGCGTCCATTCAAAGTCCAGCCTCTTATCCTCATGGAATCTCATATTCAGAGGTAGGTCGTCCTTACAGTCTGCGGCTATGGTCTGGGGTAAGCCTTCCTTCCAGGTGGCCCAGCTAGAAGTTAGGAACAACGCTTCAGGGGGAGGGTTGAGATGAGCCGTGGGGGTGGGTCAGGGAGCGGTGGGGGCAGTTGGGAGGCTGTGGGCTGCGAGTCACCAGTAGGCCTGTTGTCTTTCCTTCAGTTCCTTTTCTCGATGCTTCTGGAAGACATCCAAGGCATTGTCTCCTGCCAGGCGGGCTAGGGAAAGTCAGAATTAGCCATACTTCTTGTCTGGTTCTGAGCACGCTTCCGCTTGTCTCCTGCCCTCTTTTTGCAGCCAGCCCATGCTTTCTGTTGGGTTCTGTTGTCTTTATCTCTGGCTTTGCCTCATTTGACTGATCCCCAGGCATTCATCCGGGTCTTGCCTGGGCTCACAGTTTCACTGACTTCAACCCACATCTTCCTTCCAGACCAGGTATCTGCCATGTTTCCTCATACCTTAAGCTCACAATCTCCTTCCTGACCTTATTTCATCGATGTCTAGATGAAATTGGGGGATCTCACCCTAATCAGGTGATAAAATCTTGGTCCCCGGCACCGCAGCGATCTATTGCTGCCTGTTGCTCTGGCTGACCTCACGCCGTGAGCATCCGGACACCCTCACCCTCGCTTTCTTCGCCTGGCTTCACTTTTCAGAGTAGATCACCGCTCGCTCTCCAGTTACTGACTCGTCCCTGCTGCCACCTCGATTAGATCCACCTGTCTCAACGTGCTGTTTCCGGTTCCCACCTGTTCCCCCCTGGCTTTCCTTCCTCTCTTTCCCTTGATTCCCATGGTAAATTTGTGAAGTTTTGTGACTCTTATGCATGCCCTCTGCTGCCAGGTGGTCAAACCAGCTGCCGGCCGTCCCTTCCTAGCTGTCTGTCTGTCTGTCTGTTGCTCGCTGGCAGTCTCCTGTTCTGTGAGCTCTTCACCTGTCCCTGTCCTAACTTGTTCTGGATCACAGAACGCGTCCTGCTCTTTGTTTCTCTTTGTGTGACCTACTTCCTGTTTAGGAAAACAGGGTCTCCAGATGGCTTAGCACCCTCTTTAATTCAAGTGCAACATCACTTACTCTGGGAGACCCTTGGGGAATTCATAACTTCTTCCCATTTCCTCACTTGCATCCCGGAAACTCACTGTACCAGCCAGCGCCTGTCCATCCTTTCTTGAGGTTCTTCTCCCCCCCTTCCCCCTCCTTACCCCCCCCCCCGCCCCGCCCTCCTCCTTTCCCTCAGGTGCTCGCCCACTTGCCCAAGGTGAATTGCTGCCTGCTCACCAGTCCCCTCTGGCAGGCTCAGTTCTCCGTCTCCCTGCACCCAGCGGTAGCAGGGAAACACCGCCTCTGCACTTGTTCCGGGCCCCTGAACTGTAATGAGGTTGCAGAACCAGGCGTCGTCCACCACTGTGTGCTGTTTGTGCAGCTTCACAAACTGCAGTGGCCCCAAGTCCTCAGGAACATCGAAGTCAAACTCTTCCTCCTGTGGGGACCAGATTCGCCAGACTTGGAAAGTAGCAGGAATTGGGAGAAGCCTTTTGGAGACGGAACCGCCCTTTGTGGAGCCTCAGTTTACCGCAGCCTTCAAACACCTCTCACTCCCACTCTCCCTCCCTCTTCCACCCCTAACCTGTCTGGTGGATCTAAGGAATTCCGTTTCTGTGGGGAGACCAGAGCCGACAGCGCGCTGACCAGGGAGCATCATCACCTGTCTCCTGTTCGCTGAGCTCCCACCACGCTGGAGCTCTGAAGAGCTTCATGACTGACCACAAGTCCTGTATTTACATCGGCTTTGGGGCACTTTATTCAGGAGGAATCAGAGGCTGCCTGGGCTGGGGTCCGGGAAAAGGAGACCAGCCCATGCCAGTTGTTGACCTCATTCCCGGTGTCCTACCTCCACAAAACTCCACTGTGGTCGTGAGGTCACAGCCCCTAGCCTTCTGTCCCTTGCCAACCTCCCACGTCCAGCCCGGGCACTGAGGGACCCAGCTCTTGCCCGCTAACCTTGCCCCGCGCGGGCCTCAGCGGTAGCTCCAGCTTCACCTCCCGATGCGCCCCAACCAGCCACAGCTCCACTCGGTTGAGGGATCCGGAGAAGAGCCAGGCCCCAGTGACCACACGGACGCGGTAGCGGCCCATGGCGCCCTCTGGCCTCTCCGGAGGCAACCCAAGTGAAACTCAATTCGAAGACCGCCCAGGGCCACCGTGGCCTCAGGGCCAGTTCCGAGGCTTTAAAAGATGGATTTGTGTCCCCGCCCTCACAATTCTAGGCACTCCTCCCTAGTCCCCGCCCTAGACTAGCCTGAACCTGCTAGTCTAGCAGGCTTTGGGGAAGGGCTGTGCCTTTGAGTTAGCTCTGGTGTGGGGGAAACTGAAGGTGCTCTGGCATAGTGTGTGTGTGTGAGTGTGTGTGTGTGTGTGCGCGCGCGCGCGTGCGCGTGTTGGGAGGGTAGAGTTAGCTATGACAGGGGACTCTCTAGATCAGTGTTTCTCAACTTTCCCAATACTGTGACCCGTTAATACAGTTCCTCATGTTGTGGTGACCACCAACCATAAAATAATTTTTGTTGCTACTTCATAACTCTAAGTTGCTACTGTCATGAACTGTAATGTAAATATCTTGTTTTCCAATGGTCTTAGACAACGCCTGTGAAAGTGTCTTCAAAGGGGTCACGAGCCAGGCAGTGGTGGCGCACGCCTTTAATCCCAGCACTCGGGAGGCAGAGGCAGACGGATCTCTGTGAGTTCGAGACCAGCCTGGTCTACAAGAGCTAGTTCCAGGACAGGATCCAAAGCTACAGAGAAACCCTGTCTCA